CTGGGGCAACCCACCAACCTAGTGAAGCCAGGGGTGGGACTCTCCAAGGGCCTCCACCTCACTCCCTGGTGTGACTGGGGTTGGGATCAGCAGCAAGGTGAGCGGCATCCCCTCGTCCTCAACCTATCCTGCCTGGTCTGAGGTCATGTTGGAGTGAGGCAGTACGGAGGCCCTTTGGCGGGATAAGAGGCGGGCAGCCTTCCAGCCCCAAACCAGGATGGTGCAGTCTCCAGGGTGGCCGCTTCTCAGTTTCACTTGGAAGAGCCCAAGCTCAGGTGGAGGTTCACCTACGGGCGCCACCTCTTTAGCTCCCCCTGTTGCATCAGATCCTTCAGAAAGCGGAGGATGCTCCAGTACCACCGGAGTGCGCGGTGCACAGTGGAGAACAGCGCGCCTGCAGAGGCTCAGCTTCACTCGTCACTGTGCTGGTGACAGGGGCCCTGGCCTAGTGATACATGCGTAACACCCTGTCCCTCACATGGCCCAGCGGGTGTCGTCCTCCTGGTGCTGTGCTGATTAGAGGCAGGGACTGGAATTGGACCCAGGGTGATTGAGGTCTGCCCACCGTCCCTCTGGTCCCCAGGCATTCTGACTGTCCACAGGAATGGCGAGTGAAGAGAAGCCGGCAGATCCCCGGGCAGGAGTTCCTGGCAGGCGAGGGTGGCTGGCCTGAGGGCAGAGTCCCAGGTCCTCTGGGACACTCCTCCCTCCTGCCCAGAGCCCACAGGCTCACTTGCTTGTGCTGCCTGCTGGATGCAGGGTTACTCCTGACGTGCCTTTGCTCTCTTGTCGGGGACAGCACCTGGGGTCTCAGTACCCGGTGGCTCTCTTGTAATCATCAGCTTTGATTTCAGGGCACAGATAAGAGAGGCACATCAGACACACCCATGACTCCCGTGCCTTCCCTGGCCTCTCCTGCCATGCCTGGCCCCGGTAAGTGTGACATAGAAACATCCCGAGCCACGTGTTTTATTGGAGCCCTAGGGCAGCTCAGCTCAGCACCACTCAGGTGGGACGCGTTGCTCATTGCCAGCACGTTCCGTCAGCAGGAGCTCAGATACCTGCACCTCATGGGAATTAGGTCTTTTCAGGTGACCTCATTCCCTGAGCATGTGTGGCCTGGTGGCTGCTCCGAGCTCTGCACCCTCTTGACTGGGTTGAGCAGTCTGGGATCTGCAGAAGCACGGGAGGGGCACGGTGAGCATCCTTCCGCACTGCACGGCCTGCCTCTGCCCTCCACACACGCATGCGCACACACTGCACACGTGCAGGTCCGTGTGTATCGTCCCTCAGGGCTCCCTGTCTCCGGAGCACAGAGGCTTCTCCATGACCACAGTGAGTAGCACATGACAGAAACATGGTGTGACAAGGGCGGTTCACTGACGAGCCAGTGACGTCCTCCACAGCCTTCCGTGGCCCGCAGTGGAGAGCCCACTGGCCTCGCCCACCGGTCTGGCTGTCGCGTACAGGCCAGAGCGGCTCATCTCTCATGTGTGGCCTTGTCTTAAACAGTCCCGACGTCCCTCCCTCTAGACCTGTCTGTCGCCACCTCGTGGTTGTCCTCACGGTAAGCCTCCTGGCATAAGTGCAAGCGCGTGACGCTGTGTCCTCTGGGACATTCCGTCCTCCTCTCCGTTGCTGGTGACTTCTGATCTGGTCCTTTAGTCAGGGACTTGTCACTGCACTTCTCCTTGGGTCCCCAGCAGGTGAGCCTTTGGGACGGCCCAGGAGCCTTTTCCCTAAGACCTTCACTGGTGGTTTGGGCGTCCAGGGGACACCGCCTGAGGTGCTGGGAATGGTGGACCTCTTCCAGCCCTGCCATTCAGTGACGGCCTCTGGCCTCTGTCTGGTATTCTCTACCGGACAGCTGGCTTCCCGTCCGGTTCCCTTTTTTAATTATTGCTCCTAGAATCAGAGGCACAGCCACCTTTTAAGTCCCCGCTGGAGCCCTTACTTCCCCTGATGCTCACGCAGCCCTGCCTGCACCCTTCCTGGCTCACCAGCCCTCTGTCTCGTCCCATCCCTTTTGAGCTCCATCGCCTTTACCCTGAGGCTGCTTCCCCTCTCTCCTGGTCACCTCCAGCCCCATAACGTGTTCACTCATCCAGTGCCAACCAGCCTCAGGATGGTGGCAGCCGCAGCCAGCTCTCTTGGCCCTTGGACAGTGTCCCCCAAGGGAAGCGCGCAGGGTGCTGTGCCCACTTGGATCTTTGTTTCCCATCCCACCACCAGCTTGGTGCACAGCTTCTATTTTTTTCTGTTTCTATTCGTAGGGTTTTCCTCATTTTCATAGGTTTAATTTTATTTTTCAAATAAACCTTTCACACAACACGAAAGCAAAGCTGTGTAAAGCAGCGAGTACAGGGCCTTACTCGTCCACATGTCCCCGTGGGTAGACTTGTATTTTCTGGTTTCTAATACACTTTCAAAAAGGCAACCATCTTCGAAACAGCCTGAGGGGAGAGAACCCCTGAGGGTGGGGTGGAGAGCAGAAATGGATTTAGGAGCTAAAAAGAAATCTGAGAAGCTATTTCTAATCGTTTGTAGTTTTTTGTATCATTTTGAAAAGTGGTCATGGTCCGCCCTTGAACTCCCTGCCCTGAGTGTGGGGTGGCTTTGAACCCTGACACCCTTGACTCTTCTTCCCCAGGACCCTGTGGCAGTGTCTCTGCAGAGAGCCCTGGTGACCCTATGGAGCTGACTCCCTCCCCCAGAGAGTTGGATCCGTTGCGTCCTTGCCCAGCCGACCTGGCCACAGCATCTAGAAATGACAGTCTGTCACTGCTGGGGACCAGCAGCTGTGTGAGCAGCCAGTCCTTCGAGGCGGATGACATCTGCGATGTGACGATCAGCGACTTGTACGCGGGTATGCTGCACTCCATGAGCCGGCTGCTGAGCACAAAGCCCTCGAGCATCATCTGCACCAAGACCTTCATCGTCCAGAGCCGGAGCTCCAGGAGGAGGCACGTGCGCAGGGGCAGGGTGCTGGTGAGCGAGCGGCACTGTGCCAGGGCTCGGTGCTCCCGGAGGGGCTCCCGGGAGAGGCCTGCACCCTGCTCAGAGCCCCGGCAAGAGACAGGACCCCTAAGAGACTGTAAGAACTTACTGCATGTCGCCCAGCATGAGCCATCTTCAAAACTGGACAGAGCTTTTCTTGCAGGAAACAAAGCCCAGAGCCTTAAATTAGATCCACGTTGGAAGGAACTTCAGGTGACACCCTGGAAGCATTCTTCCTTGACTTGGGACCTCAACACAGTGCATCATCCTGACCAGGAAAATAGAGTTAGGATGCTAAAGTGGTTGATTTCTCCTGTAAAAATAGTTTCTGGACCAAAAATGTTGCCCAGCCCAGCAGAAAATCGATACAGGGAGATTGAAATCAAATTTAACAAGCTGCATCAAGAATGTTGCCCAAGTGTTGGGAAAGGAGCTTCCCCAGGTGGCCTTGGGGGCTTAAAAACCCTCAGGCGGAGTTTGCCTTTCAGCAAAGCAAAACGGAAGGGGCTAAGTGAGGCCTTTGAAAACCTGAGCAAAAGATGTGTGGAGGTAGGTAGAGGCCCACCAGAGAGCGACGCCTCTCCATCTCTTCCCAAGAGCCGCGGCCACTCTTGGCAGACATCTGGCCTCCTTCAGGGACACAGTTCTGGAACATTCAGAAAGGCATGGTCACCCCGCCAAGCTATTTCAGTACCTAGGGTAGAACCTCTGGCCTGTGAGAGAAATCGCTACAATGAGATCAAAGAGAACTTTGACCAGCTTCATCAGGAGTATTGCCAGAGGTCGCCTCGGCAGCAGGCGCTGCAGGCAAAGGCACCTGCCCCGCTTGGAGTGTCTCCAGATAAAGCTGATGTAGGAGTTCAGAGCCAAACCCCAGAGCTCTTCGGAAAGTCAAATCGAGACTCTGTCTTCCAGAAGCTGTCACCGTCACCGCAGTGGCACATGCGAAGTCCACAGGGCTCACCTGCAGCTGAGACTCATCCATCTGCTCACTCTGCTCATGGTTCCAGGAGGGACCCTCAGTCCCCTGCAAAAAGACACAGGCTGTCAGACCCCCAGGCGCGTGGACACCGGGCCAGTTTCCAGGATTCCTCAGAGGTGGATGAAGCCGACCCCAGACCAGGGGAGCAGGCTGGCCCCCCACAGGCCAGCTGGTAAGGAGGAGCATTTCCGCCTGTGGGGTGCCTTTCCTGCCAGCAGGTACTTTTCCTCTGCGGTGCAGAGGAGCGAAGCCACGGCACGCCAGGTGCCACGGAGCATCCCGACCTGGCCGCTCCTCCTGACCGGTCCCTGCAGGACTGTGAGTGGGTTTCCAGGTGCTGTCTCCCAGACCGTCTGCTTCCTCTGAAGTCAGCATTGATAGCAAGGATGTGTGGGGGGGGGAGGCTTCAAGATGGAGCTGCAAGTGTTTGGAAGGAAGGGGGTCCTTGTCTTCACTGGAATGCCCTCACTACTGCTGTCTGTCCAGTCTGTCCATCTGTCCGTGTCGACACTCAGAAAACAATTGTTGGAAGGTGAAACTGATCTGGGAATGGTGACCTCTGTCCCCCTCCTAACTCCTCGGAGGGCTAGCAGCATGCAGGTTCCCACGCCTGTCCTCCTGGCTCCCAGCTCTGGGCCCCTCAGCCACAGCTTGCCCCTGCTGTACCCTTTTCTTTCCCCGTCATGGAACAGGGAGCAGGTGGGGTGGACGGGCCAGCAGGACGAAGTGCCAGGTCTTCAGTGGGATCCATGTGTCCTCAGTTGGGCTCCAGGTGGCATGGCTCACCTGAGTGACTGTGGTCACTTGTCCTCACTGGCCGAGAGATGTGGGCTGAGTTGGGCTCTGGGTTTGATGGTAGCTTGGGCAGGCAAGGTGAGGCCGTGTCTGCAGCCTCCTGTTCTTGTTTGTCCCCTGCTGAGGTCAGACCCCCTTGGGGGTCAGTTGACGGGCCCTGCCTACCACAGTTACCTCCTTTTCTGTTTTTCCCACCGCTGCCTGTCCGCGGAGGACCCTTTCCAGCAGCTCACTCCTGCCTCCTGTGTCTGGCTGGTTCTAGAAACCACCACAGCCCCCATGTGCTCTCTCCCCGTTCCCGTCCTCCCAGGGTCACCCAGGCAGACTCTGCCATGAGAGGGTCCTCCCTCTCCTTCCCAGGGCGCTCCTCACTGCCACCCCTCCCACTCCCCACTTGTTTCTTGAACCTCTCCGTCTGGGCCGCCCCGCTGTCTCCCCGGGCAGGCACGCCCGGCTGAGGAGGAAGCCGTCTGCACAGGCGGCCCACAGGCCCGGCACAGCGCGGGATCTTTCTGGCCAGTTGCGTTTTGTCTTGCTGATGTGAAGTCCTAGGTATGAGCAGCCAGGGCCGAGCACACGCCGGCCTGCCCTCTTCCCAGGGAAGACCTACCTGGTGAAAGCACCTGTCCCCGGGGGGAGCCTCTGGTGGGACCAGGAGGGCTGGGGGAGGTGCAGGAGCCAGGCCCCTGGGAGGCCAGAACCAGAGAGCAGCCGCCCAGGGCCCTGTGTCCTCCATCTGCCTGTCCCAGCAGTGCCTGGCCACCAGCACAGTTGTTCCTGGGTCTTGGTCTGTTTGCTCACCTCCCCCATCCAGGGCCCATGTGGCTTTCGCAGGCCAGGCCACACCGGGGGACCTTCAGCTACAGTTCAGTGAGGCCTTAGAGCTCACTGGACATTCCAGGGGTGGCCTTGAAGAGATGCTCCTGTGTTGGGTCACTTAGGAAACCTTGGCAGAAAGGGAGCATTTCACCAAAGAGATCCTCGGCCCAGAGCCGTCCCTGAGGTCTCTCCTGGCCTCCTGCACATCACAGGTCCCTGATCGGCTATCCCTCTGGTCTAAACCTGAATGACTGCTTTTCAAGTAGTCCCCTCGCCAACCCATGCCTTTGACCCTGGCCCCAGGACTCTCCTGAGCCTTTGGCTGGCCTCCCCCTGTGGCCCCAGAATACAGTCTGACTCTCCTGCCCCACCTTGGCCTCAGCTCCTCCCTCTCCCTGGGAAGTCTTGTCTGGCCAAGTAGAGGGAACCTCAGCCCCACAGAATGGTGCGCAGTCCCCAGCAGGAGCAGGTGCCCCACCTTGGCTTGGGACTCTTGCCCTCAGTGCCCAGTGCAGCCCTCACAGCTCCCTGCAGGTGATGGCAGGTGAGTGTGGGGACACCACTGGCCCACAGTGTGCGCATGTTTCCCCCGTCCCTGCTCGAGGTGCCCAGATCTCCACAAGTGCGGCTGCAGGGGCCCGGTCGCTGGCCAGCAATGAGGGCCTGCCTGTTGGCCTGCAGCTGTCTCGTGCCCTGCCTCAGTGCCCACAGGACCCTTTGACCAGGCAGGCTGTCTCCTTGTGAGGAGTGTGGCCTCAAGACTCCCCGGGGCCTTGCTGGTGAGGTACACTGCCTGCTGGGTTGTTCTGTAAGTAGACCTGCCTGGGGGTTACGCACCGGGGCGTTGTCTGTAGTGGATGTATTTCCTCACGTGCAGTGGGGCTCATTGTAAGGTTCACCTTGATTTTTTCCTAGGGGAAAGAACATCTTTCAGGATAGAGGGGAATAGTGGTTTTGTTAGAGATATTTAGAGCTGAGGCTAGCCTGGAGCATGGTTCCTCTCCCTCGTGCTCTGCTTTGTAGGGCTGGGGTGGAACCCAGAGCCACACACGTGCCAGGCAAGTGCTCAACCACTGAGCTGCGACCCTGCCCTTAAAGACCCGTCTCAGTCACTATGCCAGTTAGCCCTGGTGAGCCTCTTCTGTTTTATTTTTTTAATGTAGACACAAATCTGTTTTGTTAGACCATCATTTGTTTATTTAAACCCTGGATACAGCGATCCTTGATCTTTCGAGTACCAACTAAAACACAATTGGCCCATAAAAAGCAGTTCTTGGCATCCTGCTGGTTTTAGGTGGAGGTGTCCCGTGTTAACCCCACCCCTGCACCCCACAGTACCTGGTGCCTTGTTTCTTTGAGATGATTTATACTAGGGTATCACAGGGACATTTTATTGAAATATTTCAAATATTCAAAATCGAGTGGTGAAACCCATGTGCGGCCACCTGGAGTTACGGCTGTTGATGTGTGTTACTGCTGATGTGTGTTAAGGAAGTGTTCTCAATAAAAGATGGAAGACGAGGTTAAGTCACCTTTCCTTCCTGTCCCCGCTCACTGATCCATCCTCACGTTGTTCCTTTTCCACGCCTGCCTTCAGCTGGGACCACATGCACGCTGCGCTTGTCACTTGGGCTGGGCAGCTTAGACACAGGTGTATTTTGCCACCTGGAGATGAAGTCCAGGGCAGGGTGCCAGCATGTCCAGGTTCTGGTGAGGACGTCCTGGCCCATTGTGGGGGCAGGAAGAGAGGTCTCTGCTGTCTCTTATGAGGACTTACCATTCTGCCCCCCGCCCCATGACTTACCCAAGCCTCATCACCTCCCCAAGTCCCATGTCACACACCCTCACCGTCTGGGTTGGAGGGACAGGTTGGTCCACAGCACTGAACCAGTGCAGGTGGCCGACACCTGGCCCCTCACGGGAGGCTCCCCTTTCCCTCAGAGCAGGCTGGCAGCAGTGCTGGGGCAGGCCCGGCCAGGGCAGGCTGGCCTCCACAGGCCCAGACCTTTCCCTCAGGTCTGCTGCTCCTGGGGACACAGCGTACCCCTCCATCAGGAAGACTCGCCCGGACTGCCCAGGCCTCACTTGCCCTCGGCCCCTCAGCACAGCAGCCATGCTGAGCTCTGCAGGCCGGGCCAGGCTGGCCGCCAGGTGACAGTGTTCTGTCCCGGGGAGGAGGGTGGAGTAGAAGGGGTTGGCATCAGCCAACACAGGACCCACAAGCAGATGTGGCCTCTGCTTTCAGCCTTCACTCACATAATTGACCATTGTGTCTTCTGCAGCGTTTTTCACCAAGAGATAGTTTCCATTTGACAAGAGCTGATGTGCTATGGCTTAAAATGTGTCCCCCAAAGGATCCGGGGTTGGAATTGTCCCCAGGGTGGTGGTAATGGAAGTGATATGGGGTCAAGCAGGAGGTACTTGGGTAGTTGGGGTTCTGCCCTCCAAGGATTAAGGAATTTCTTATGGGACCCTGGTTTCCCTGAGTCTGACCCCACCTGACCTCCCCTTTTCAAGATGTCATTCCTCCCACACTATCCACCATGAGATCTTCACCAGAGCCCAGCTAATGCTGGTGCCCGGCCCTTGAATCTCCAAAACAGTCAAACTTTTTTTTTAGCCTGCCTCAGTTATTTCGTGATAGTAACACAAAACTGACTGAGCATCGGCCTCCTGCAGGAGGACTCGGCCTGTGGTCCTTGTGCACAACTGCAAACCTGTCTGCACACACCTAGAGGCACACTCAGGAATGGCTATGCCTTGGTCTCCTCAGATTGCCTTCCCAAGGGGCTTTCCAGTTTGTGACCTGTCCAGTGATAGGAGAGGCCCATTCCCCATGTCACTGCTGCCCACAGATACCAACAGCCTCTGAGGTTAGTGGTGACAGTGAGTCATGGCACCACACAGTCGGCTTGGCTTTGTCTTGATGGCCTGGGGTCCCGACCTTTCCACCACCCCTCTCAGGGCACTGCTGTGTTGCCTCGGTTTGATTCAGGAATATTCTAGATCCAACTGCACGAACCAGCCCAGTTTGACGTGACACGGAAGTCACTTCTCCCACCCCTTTTCCTGTATTGTGCAGAAGTTACCCTTGACCCTGGCCCGAGAGCTCAGCCCTTGACTTTCTCTTGTCTGCGATTCGTGAGCAGCTTCCTCACTTGGTGGAAGGAAAGCAGCTCTGCTCACAGAGCAGCTGGAGACCACTGTCCTAGAGAGGCCCATAGGGAAGGGCTGGCCCTCTGGGCTCTCGGCTGACCTGTGGTGTGCCCCGCAGTGCTCAACGCGGGGTGTGGAAGTCCTGTTTGCCTGCCCTGGGGACAAGTCTGTGGACCACCCAAGCGCAGGAGGGTCTCTCCTTACTCTCCTCCCTTCTCCCCGCTCCGTGTTTCTCAGACGCGGGGCTGATTTCTCCTTTTCAGCCCTCGGCCAAATTCCATTCCAGGCCTCACTGGGCTCCCGTTCGACGAGCCCAGGCCACAGGACAAGTGAGGGGCCCGGGATACAGATCACGTCCTCTCCAGGGCTGCTGCAGCACTCCGCCCTGGCCCAGCCCTCCTCTCAGTGCTGTCTACCATGAGCTGGACACCCCACCAAAGGCCGGGGTCCCCGGCAGCAGAGGCTGGACAAGCCAGCTTCCCTGGCCGCTGGGCAGCACCCGGTGTGGTCCTTTTGGGTGGAGGGGCTGTCTGACCCGTGCCAGGGAAAGTGAGAAAGACAGGGCTCGTTAGGGTTGAAGTTTCCGTTGCACCCCCACAACTCACCGTCTGGGGTCCACCCCCCAAATGGCAATGGGGGCTTATTTCAATAGAAGAAAATACACTGACTACAAGGTTTATCTTGAAAACTAAATTTTAAACTGCTTTGCTGTGCGAGGATTCCATGCTCCAAGGAGGCAGCTTACAGCTCCGTGGGAACCTTGGCACATTCCCTCAGGGGAGGCCAAGTGCCAGTTGCCATTGCTGACTACAGCTGTCCAAGACCTTGAGCGTCTCCAGCGCTGCCTTCCTGACCCCGGGATCCGAATCCAGCTGTAGTTCTTGGAGAGCTGGGTGGAGCACAAAGAGGAAAGGGTCGAGCCTCTGGGAAGACCACACTCCTGTGCCTGGTGCAGCGGGTGGTGGCCACGTGGCCTGGCAGGACTGGGACCCCCCCCCCCGGGCATGCAGCCAGAAGATGGCAGGTGGAGCTGCAGTTTCCATGCCCACTGAAGTCCTCTCAGGACGTCTGCAGCCACTAACAGGGACCGAAAGGTCACTCACAGAACCTGAGCACAGCATCAAGGCAGAAGCAGCCCTTGAGAATCCATGAGTGGGGGGACTCACGCGGCCAGCAGCTCCCTTCCAGGAGGGCCCTCCACAGGCCACCCATCTCATCCCATTCCCCTCCCCCAGACAAGCCCACAGGAAGGCCCAGCTGCCCTCCCGGGCTCCCCAGGGGTTTGCGGAGCCAGTGGGCTCCTTGGGGAGTGTGGGGGGCCGACTGTGCATAACCGATTGTCCACTACTCACAATTCCGCAGGGCCGGCCAGTCCAGCTTTTTCAGATAATGAACTGACAACTGCTTCACTATGATCCCTAAAAGGACAGCCAAAGAAATGCCACTGCCCAGGCCAGGTCAGCAGGACAGCCTATGCAAGAGGCGTGGTTCTGCCTTACCAAGACATCAGTGAAGGATTTTGCTGGCCAGGACCAGATGAGGGGAAGTCTAACTGGAGCCCAGAAGGTAGGCACAGTGGGCAGGCTCGACCTGAGCCCTCGTCCCCACCCTGCCACTGCCCCTCCAGCTAACTGGCTGCCCAGGTGCCCTTCAAGGTCCATCCTGAATCAAGACATCTTCTGCTTACCTGCCAAGTTGCAGGCAGCAATTCTGATCCTTAACAAGTCATTTTTGACGTAGGACATTGTTTCCAGAAAGAAGCCATAGAGAACAGCAGGCTTTTTCTGAGTCTGCAAAAAGTAAGTGACATACAACAGCTTTCAGGATGAGACCTGGAGCCGGACTGATCACAAGGAGCATCCCCTTCTGTCTGATGCACCAGTGCTCCTACAACTGGAAGCCTCTGCCCGGAGACTGCAAGGGTCCATCCCAGCATCACACAGCAGATTCATAGCAGGGCAAGTTAAGGACATTTAGTCCCTGGGTTTGTTCTTATCATTTATCAGGAACCTGTTCTATCCAAAATGTAGCCACTGGCCATGTGGTCCTTGAACACTTAGAATGTAGCTGGTCTGAATTAAGTATGATATGCCTTCTGGGTTTTGAAGACTGTACCAAAAAAATGTAAGCTATCATAATAATATATAATTACAATAACAACACATTAAAGTTTATATATTTATATACAAAATATACTGTATGTATTTATAAGTGTCTAATAAATATTGTGTGATATATTTATATACTTTATGTATGCCATATTAATAATAATTTTATATATAATATATAAATACATAACATACATGTTGAAATGATCATGTTGGGGCTATATTAGCTACGTTAAACACATTAAAATCGATTGGCCCCTTCCTACTTTCTGAATGTGGCCACTGGGAAACCTAAACCAGGCGTGTGGCTTGCGAGCTGTCTCCAGGGGACGTTTTGTGTCTGGAAGAGAACCCAGGGCCGCGAGAGGAGAGGCCACAGTGGGGTGTGCCCGGGGCTTCCTCACCAGGATGCAGCACATGCTGGTCTGGAAAACGGTCATCTCCTCGTCGGTTCTGGTGTGGCCTTGCCCCGCAGAGCTCTCCAGGGACCTCCAGCCCCAGAAGTGCACGCACTGAAACATGGTGGCCCTGCAGGCCTGGAGGGACACAGGACAGCCAGGCAGCATGGCATCGGCCCCTGAGCGCGGGTCCCATCCTGCCCGCTGCAGGCCCTGCTGAGGCCCCGCCCCTGGCCTCTGGCAGGGAGAGGGGGGGTCTCCCAGCAGGGGAGGGTACAGCGCGGGCGTCCCTGCCACCCTTTCTGGGTGTGTCGCCACCCTCGTCCCTGGGGCGTCTCCCATGCCGCTGTCTCCGAGAGCGCAGTGTGGGCAGAGTGGAGGCTGCGCAGGAGGGACAGCAGTCCCCCAGCGCTGATGCTGCCTGCCCCGTGTCACCAGGGACCCTGCAGCAGAGTCTGGGCAGAGAGGGGAGAACCCAACCCGGGTCTGGGGAGAGCACTCTGGGATGTCCCTCACCCTGTGAGTGCCATCTGCACCACGTCCACCCCATTGCCACCAGAAACCCAACACTCACGAACAGTGTGCAGGGGACCTGCGGCCCCAGAACTGGGGCTTGAGTGCCCTTGCGTGGGTCAGGTGCAACCCCAGGCTTTGAGAGGGGCAGAACACCCACACTCAGCCACCTCCCACTGCCCACCCTAGTTTGTGGAGGAGAGAAGGGGGTGGGGTCATGGCCAGAGGGACCGTGGTGAGCCTGGGTGAGAGGTCATAGGGCACACGAGTGGGGTGAGTGGCTGTCACACAGGTCCGTGCTAACAGCCTAAAGTGACCTGCTAGGAAGAAGGGGGGATGGGGCCAGGGTGGC